AATTCAGAAATATAGCAAATTACAGACTAACTTGACATTGCCTTTGTCTTCATTATAAGACAGTGTTATATAACTAGCATACTAACATTAAATTTATGCTAGGTGCTACATCTGCCTAAATGAAATTATTTTGATGATTCTGTAGACTATAGAGAGAACGCCTAATCTTTACATTCACTTCTGATATTTTTTCATACCTCCTCTGTCTGAGTTAGAGATTGGCAGTATCCTCAGGGTGTCTGCCCTTCACATCTAAAAGGTTTATTTGAGAACGAGATTGTTTACTCTCATCTCCTTTGTTCTATTAGATTTTGTTACTCTTATGTACATATTATATTTTATTTGGAAAGATGCTTTAGGAATTTTAGTATGTCTTGCAAACTTAAGAAGTAATTCATTTCCAGAATTTCTTCTTTTAGGTTTATTTCTTTTATTGGGCATACATTTTCCCCCCCATGTACACTACACACAAAGAGATTCTAATCATTCATTTAAAATAATTAAAAGGTATTTCTGTTAAAATTATTTCCTGATATGTCCTAGCATTTTAGCTTTGTTCTCATATATATGTATTTTGGTTCTCATATATATGTATTTGGAATAAATAAGTAAATATCACACACACAAATATATATACATATATATATATTGTGTTTGAGAAACACACACACATATGTATACACTTCACAGATAGATAGTGTGTATGTTTTTTTTTTTTTTTTTTAAGAATGATGGTCACTTTGGAGCAAGGAGTTTTTATGTTTCAGCTTCATTTGTTATTGTTCATTACTGAGGTTGAATGGTAAGGCACAGAGTATTTAAGAGAAGAATGGTGTTGTTCCCCCTGGGACACTGGAATGGAAAACCCCAAATCAAGCACATGACTCTGGAAGTTGTCAGGCACAAAGAAGAGACTACCCCGTCACTTGTAGGATCTCTTGAAAACTGGAATGGGCAGGCCCTTGAACCCACTTGTATTTCCATGGCAAACCACCCATTCCATGCTGTTCTTCAAACCCATTGTAATTTGAGGTCTTGCATAGTTTAATTTTTAAAGATCCTACTACTGGAGAGGTTCTGGTCATTTTTGCCAAATGTGAGAGCTTTCACAGCTTTTCAACTGAACTCCTGTTCCCTAGGCTTCCTGGCTCACTCAGTGGCCTTGGGTTCATTGTGGCCTACAGTCCAGTCTTATTTATTTTAAAAAACATTGTATTTTGATATTATTGTTCCATTAAAAAATAGAATTTTAGAGGTTAGCAATCAACTTAGAAATCACAGCTTTCCATCACCTTAGTTACTGTATGAGTTGCTTCACTGGTAAAGGACCATAAATTGCAGACATTTATTTTAAGATCACAGGGTTAGAAGCATCGACTGGCTTCAAGGATAACTACAATCCAGTGCTCCATAAATGAAGGGTGCTCCTAACCTACCTGTACGTTGCTTATGTCACAGGGATGCCCAGCGCCTCCTTGCCGGTTCACCACGCTCCGATTTCACTTCATCTGCTCCCCCTAGAATCCTCACCCACACACTAGTTTAGAATTATTGCTGTATTTGTCACTAAGTGGAATCCGAGTTGAATTTTTGCAGGTTTCCCCCCTACATCTGCCTCTTTGATGGTAGCTGGGTTTATGGCCACTCACTTATTAGAGCCCTGGGTCTTAACAACCTTATTCAAACAAAACATCTTAAATGGAGGCGTTAAACAGGTCGCAACAGTGACCATTTTGTAACTTTTGCTGCAATAAAATGGGTATGTTGTGTTTTGGAATATAAGACCTCTGAGTGCAGCTATTCATTTTCTTCATCTATAAAACATTTTAGAATAACAGCTTACATCTGTTTGGGGTATAAAATTCCACATTTTGAAGAAACATCACTGTTGTGTAACTCCACACCAGACCTGGGCCGAGAGGGGAGCCCTCTCACAGGCCCCGTCTGCCTGGCTGGGGAGCTGTGGCTGGGGGAGGCTGGAGCGGATGTGCTGGCCACCTTCCTTTCACATATGTGCAGCACATTTCCATTGTTGTCCCTTCCTACTATAAGTGACAGCAAGTGTGTAACACGATTCTGACTTGAGGAACATTGGAGAAATTTTCACACACAAGGAGTTTATCTCATGAGGGTCTTTCACTCCTAGAAGCCAGAAATAAGTTTAATTAGCAAAGCCTTTATAGTACCGTTAATTACCATTGACAGTCAGTTGATCTTGTTTTGTTTGGGTTTACTGTCGGCTCACTTTTAAAAACAAATACCCAGTGGAATCATTTTGCCGTTCCAAATGTGTCGTTTTTAAATTACCCCTTTAAACTGAAGGGTCAATTTAATAAGTAAACATTAATAGAGGAAAATGGGCAAAATGTTCATCCATAGAATTCAGAATCTAATAGTATTAAGTATTGAGCAAATTCAGACAATTTTATGGGTTATTTTCATCAAGAAATGAAAAACTGTCAAAGATGGTTACAATGAATTTTTTTAAATAACTTTATTTACTTATATTTTATGTGGTCCTGAAGATCGAACCAGTGCCCCAACATGCTAGGCAAGCGCTCTACCACTCCTGAGTCACAATTCAGCCCTGCTGCAATGAATTTTAAAGCTCTTTTCATTTTATTCTTATTAAAATGTAATATTGTTACATCTGAGATGGCAAAATCCCAAAGGAGAAGATTAAAATGATCTGTAACCCCTGTTGTTCTTGAGGGTAATTTTTTTTACATATTTTGAATTTTTAAAAAATTAGAAAAGCTTTAGAAACCCATTGTGCAGTAAGTTTTTTGTTTGTTTTGATAATTAATTTAATTGGAAATACAGCTCTGTGGTTTCAAATTGGACAGTGTCAGATGCTTTTATGTTTTGGTGACCAAAAGAACCAAACTAAATTTGACTGCTCTTGTGGAACTTTGACATTCAGGGTGGGGTAGCTGCTTATTGATGACAATGACAAACTTCTCTGAGATTCTGGCTTGTCAGATTAATCCAGGTAGTGACATTGATTTTTCTTTCTTTCTTTCTTTCTTTTTTTCTCTCACTGCTGTTTCCTTCCTGAATAGAAGTCAGATTTTCTTTCTAGGGCCACTGTCTGTCAAACTCAGGGCCATCATTTGCTCTAGCCGAGTTGCACAGATGTTGCTGGGCTCTAAAATTCTGATTAATATAAATACTTCAGTAACAACTTTATTGCCCTTAGTTCATGTGAAGGTCAATACTTGTTAATTCCTCCAAAATCATGGAGACATACACATGTGCCAAGTTCACATTTACTTATCACTTGGAACTGAGCTGAATGCAGAGTGACAATAATGGGGACATGGCAAGCCTGTGGGTGTCATAGCTGCTGGGCACGGTTTGGTGGCCAGTGACTGGATATTATGTAAACTCATTGGCATCGGGGGTTGGGGGGGAGTTCAGGCATTTTTATTTTAAGAAATATGGAGGTGATTTCTGTTTTTAAATTTCTAAAAATTTAATTAAAAGCAGAAGATTGTACTATGAGTGAGTTTGTATGCAGATAAATCCAGTTAGATATCTTTTGCATTGATGGGTTCTCTGAAGTCAGAAGGTCCGACTTAATCACTGCGTGTCTTAAGCCAAGTTACATAACTTCTCTGAACCTCAGTCTCTGTAAGAGGGGATTAGGAATGATAGTGTTTGATAGGATTGTTAAGGAGATTCCGTGAAGTAAACCTTAGGTGGCTCTTGGGAATTCTGGCTCTATGGTTAGAAGGCTCACTGTAAATCTGACTCTGTCTGGACCACTCATACTCCATTAGTACAGACTGCTCGTCTCCCTGACCGCGCTTGGGGCTAATCTGGAGCTCAGGCTTGCTTGTCCCTTGTCCCTCTCCCTCTGCACTCCTCTGGCATCACCCAGTGTGCCTTCCCGAGGCCTGTAGCCCTCCCTCTGCTGTCTGACTGTGCTGCTCCTGTGCTGCTCCCTGTCCTCCTGCAGGTGGCTCTGCTCCTCTCTCCCTCCCTCCATCTCCCGTTCCTTGTTCCCTCATCCTCTCCTCCCAGCAAGCTCCTCTTTTCCTGTCCTACTCTCTCCTTCCTGTGCCCCTCTCCTCCCTTTTCCTCTCACTTTCTCTCCTCTGCTGCCTTCTTCCTCCCCCCTCCTCCTCTCTCCCCTCCCTCGTTTTCCCCTCTCTTCTTTCCTCTTCTTCCCTCCTCTCCCCTCGGCCTTCTGCCTGCCTGCCCTCTTTGTGTGCTCTCTCCTCCAGCTCTTCCTCCCTCCACCCTGCATCTTCTCTGTTCCTCCGTTCAGTCCCGACACTTGGCCTGCTCGTGAGTAGACAGCTGTCCCTCTTAAGCAGAACAATGTCATGTCCTCAAAGTCTCTGTGACTTTTATGTTTTATTTTTTGGTACTGGGGATTGAACCCAGGGATGCTTGACCACTGAGCCATGTCACCAGCCCTTTATTTATTTGTTTGTTTGTTTGTTTGTTTTTGTGGTGCTGGGGATTGAGCCCAGGGCCTTGCACATGTAAGGCAAGCACTCTACCGACTGAGTGACATCCCTTGCCCCATTTTTTATTTAGGTTGCTTTATAGTCTCACTATGTTGCTGAGGCTGGGTGTGAGTGAGCGTGCGATCCTCCTGCCTCAGCCTCCCTAGCTGCTGGGATGACAGGTGTGTGCCACGGTCCCCGGCCTTCGTTACTTTTGGTAAGCAGCATTGGCTGTTGTCAGAGCAGCCACCTGTCCCTATCCCAGTTGTGCTTTTCTTTCTAATTCACAGGCCTTCATGGTGTCTCTAATTTTACGTTTGCTGGGCTCCAAGAGTTGAGAGGACCTACAGTTAAAGTTTAGTTCTTTTTCTAAACATGCGTACTACAGCCTGTGAATTTGTTTAATGTTGGCTTTGATTCATACATAAAATTAACATGAAGTATGTCTCTAAATAATAATTATGGACTTTTATAATAACGCCAGGAAACTGCTGCTTTTTATCAACCTAATGTTTGATATTTTTTTCCCCTTTCTCTCCCCAGATTCCTTTCTCTTTGGTCCAGTTTCCCTTGTGGGAATTCTTAAAAGTAAGTTTTTAAATCTTTATATGAAATCTATTTCTAATTTTTCACAAATGCCCAACAGTTTGTATGGAATCAAAGAATGTAATGTTGACCATAAGTGTGACAAAGTCAGAGTCACTGATAGTTGCAAAGATGTTTTACACGTGACTCACACCAGTTGAGGCTTGCTTCAGGTACCTGTGGTGTTGGAAATAAGCTCAGCCAATGTGACCCACACCCACAGATGGTGAGAAGCAGCTTCACTTTACTCTTCGATATTGCCATTCTTTCTTCATCCAGTTGAATATTATTTCTCCCTCTGTATGTGCAGAGGATAAGGAATAACAGTGAGGGTGAGTGGAGGAGAGAGGATGACCCCAAGTATTTGAAGGCCCCCACTCCTGTGTCCAAGCAGGCAGGAGGGTGAGCAGCAGAAGTGCCTTGGGACTCTATCTTTCCATTTCTGCTACTGATTCCTAATAGGACCGTGAGCCAAGGTAGCAAGTGTAGAGACCACTGGCTCATTTGTTTAGAAAGAAACAAAGTTTTCAAGATCTACATTAAAAATATGCGTAGAGGTCTCATTAGGTTTCCATAGTCTGGGGCAGTGATACTGAAATTTGCATGGATCTTTGTCAGCGTTGTAAAGACCTCAAAAAAGAGAAACTATAAAGAGCATGTGTGTGGTAAGTGGTAAGGATAAGTACTAGTTTGTAAAGCTTTAGTGAGGTGCACGTGTACATGCACACACATCTGTGCTGGGTTGCAGTGGTGAGATGTGTTTCTTATTGGAATAAGGTTCAGAAAATATCGAAGGCCCTTTTTCAACTGAAGGGTTCATGAAGGATCAAACTGTAAAACGGCGAAGTATCTAGTGTAGACATTAGCCACCCCCCCCACACACACAAATTGTCCCTACCATTTTACAGACCTACTCTTCATGGAGTGCTCATACAAATTATCTTTTGAAAAATATTATAAACATTTCTTGGACTCTGAAATAACTTCTGTTGACGATACCTACTAAAGGATAGTAAATTGAGGCAAAGCTTTGCACCTTTAAAAGATGAGCTCCAGGATATCAAGTATTAAGAAAGATTTCTTCTAAGTGATCTGATTTTATGGGGCAATACTGCCCAATATGGTTTTGGGGGTCTTCTGTTGAGGTTGAGTTTGTTTTATTTTTACCCTTCCTGTGTGGTACATGGTGAAAATAGATTTCTCGGGCAGTGTTTCAGGGCGTGATGCAACCCCTCTCCAGTGAGAAGGTCACATTCCTCCAGCATACCAGCTCTCCTTCTCAGTGTGTGACAAAAGAACAATGAAGCCAGCAGCTGTGCTGCAAACAAGACTCACTTATTAGTGCCTCAATGACCATCATTCACAGGGAATCTGCACACCCTGACATCCCGACACCCCAACTCTGAAAAGGAATGTTTTGAGGCTCAAAGAGGAAAAAGGCATGCGATTTCTTTCTTTTCAATAGTGAAGACATTTGTAGTATTCTTGTTTCTTAAGAAATGTCTAGAATTTTTCAGAGCAATCAGAGATAACAATGCAGTGTTTCAAAATCTTTCTTTTAGCATATGTGAAGATAGAATGTATTTTTAATTTGAGTTTCTTGAGGAATAATGTACAGTAAACCTCACCCTTGAAAAGTGTGATTTTTTTTTTTTTTAATGAGTTTTGACAGATGTTTAGGACCACACCATAACCAAGAGAGAGCATCTCCACCAGCCCAGATGGTCCTGCCTGCCACTTACTAGTCGGTGCTGCCCCAACCCACAGCCCCTGGCCATCCCTGTTCTTGTAGTTTCCCCTTTTCTAGAATGTCATGTAAATTGACAGTGTGTGCACACAGCAGTTAGTGCCTGGATTCTTTCACTTGATTTATTACATTTGAGACTCTTCATGTTGTTTCTTGTGCCAGTGTTTGTCCCTTTTTATCACTTTACACTATTTCATTTGTTTATGGATGAACACAATATGTTTATCCATTCACTAGTTGATACACATTTGCACTGTTTCCAGTTTTTGTTGGTTATGAATAAAGCTACTATAAATATTTGCTGAGAGTATTTGTATGGACATGTGCTTTATTTCTCTTGGAAAATAACCTAGGAGCGGTATTGCTGGGTCAGAAGTAAGGTTTATATTTGATTTTTATAAGGAGCTATCAAATGCCTCCCAAAGTAGCTGTGCCCTCTTGCATTCCCAGCAGCCAAGTGGAGTTTCAGTTGCTCCTTGATACTATTACATGTTACTATTAGGTTTTAAGATTTCAGCCAGTCCAACAGTTGTATACAGCATCTCATTGTGGTTTGATCTCCAGTTCTCTCATAGCTGAACACCCTTGAGAGTCTTTTCACCTAATAGGGTTTAAAAAAAAAAAAAATCTGAATGTGAGATCACAGTCCTTTGGTAGAAATGGATAGTTTTTGGCATTGGTTTTATTTTTGTGTTTATAATATTATCCATTTAAACTTGGTTTTGCAACCATGGAGCGAGATCATATTATCTGGGAGGGTTTTTCTGTTTGTTTGTGTGGGAGTAGACTAAGGGAACTCTCTCAGCCAGGACCTTAGTGGTACACACTGTACCTTGGAGGCTGAGGATCTGGATGTAGAAGGTGGCTACATTATCCTAAACTTGACTCTCGTCTGAGATCTGAATTATCATCCTTCAAAAATCTCTTCCATTGGGCTGGGGTTGTGGCTCAGTGGTAGAGTGCTTGCCTAGCATGTGTGAGACACTGGGTTCAATTCTCAGCACCACATAAAAATAAATAAATAAGCCGGGTGCAGTGGTGCACACCTGTAATCCCAGCAGCATGGGAGGCAGAGGCAATCGGATCCCAAGTTCAAAGCCAGCCTCAGCAAAAAGCGAGGCCCTAAGCAACTGAGACCCTGTCTCTAAATAAAACACAAATTAGGGCTGGGGTTGTGGCTCGGTGGTCAAGTGTCCCTGAGTTCCGTCCCCGGCATCCCCCAAAATCAATCAATCAATAAATAAATTAATTAAAGTTATTATATCCAGCTTAATCATACTCCTATTCTCTTGACGACCTGGTTGAAGCACCAGATTAAAATACGATTCTCTTATTTCTCTTTCTCCCTATCCTGTTAATCACTAAGTTTCATTGAATGACTTTTTGGATCCTGTGGCCACCTGTTATCAGATTCCTGCGACATTGTGTCAGGCCAGGTCCCAACAGGTTCTCTACCTACTCAGCCATTTTACACATTGAACGTATGTGATCTTCCTTAAATGTCTCTTTGAAGCAACACTTACATCCTCAGAAACTTAGGACTTTCTCAAACTCTGCAGCTTGAAGTTATGGTGCTTGCGGATCTCCACGCTGTGTCCTCAGTGGTTTTCCAGCTCCTTCCCCTGTGTTTCCTTTGGAAAAAGCCTTTCCCCTCCAGCCTGCTCAATGCTCTGAATGCCCTCCCTGGTCTTCAGTCTTCTCTGAAATGTGCTCCAAGGTCCGAGTGGGATGCATTTTTGAAAAAGCTCACTCCAGTGAACTTTGAAAGCCCAGTGACTGCTTGAAGTTCTCAGCCCAGGTGTTGCAGACTGACCCTTACCTCACATTTGTCTCTGTTTCTGGTTACTGTTTGATCACAGGCTATATGGTGTACAGGCATCTTAGAACCAAGCTTTTGCACACTTGGCCAAGGCCGTCCTTTACAGGTTAGTGACATGCAGCCCGCACATTTTTATTGCCTACTCTGTGCTGGATGTTGTTGGGCCTCACAAGAATGTGAAGGTGAGCCTGTAAGGAGCTTAGAACTCTCATACAGGCACTCAACCCACAGATCACTGAAATGCCCTGAAGAATACCCAAGGTAATGTGGGAACCACCCCCTATCCCTGTAACTATACTTCTCTTATGGTTTAGATATGAGATGTCCCCTAAAAGCTCATGTGTGAATGTGCAGAGGTAAAATGACTAGCTTATGAGAACTGTGACCTAATCCTCCATTGATGTGGATTAACTCTTAATGTAGCTAACGGTGTGGCTGGAGAAGTAGGCCACCAGTGGCTTGGGGTTTATGTTTTGCCCCTGGTGGGCAGAGCGCCCTCTGTGTTTCCTGGTCGCCAAGGCCCGAGCTCCTTTCCTCCTCCAGGCCCTCCTGCCATGATGCTTGCCTCACCTCAGGCCCAGAGCAGTGGAGCTGCCGGCCACAGACTGTGCTCTGAAGCCATGAGCCAGAAGAAACTTTTCCCCCTCTAAAGTGTTCTCGTCAGGCCTTTTGGTCATGGCAGTGCCAAAGCTGACTAAAACAATCACCTCATGTTTAAGTTTTTATTTAACAAGACGGGGTACTGAGGAGGAGAAGGGAAATAAAAGGGGTAGATTATCATATCCAGATCCTCAGGAGGTAATTTCCCCTTAAGAAATGTTTACGTTGAAACTTTGTGGCAGCCACCAGAAGAAAAGCATGATGACAAAGTCCATAGCTTATCATTTCTTCTTCCCTGGGCTTTGGGTGCCATCATTATGATACCAGCTTGTACTTCCTTCTCATGGCAGCTGAGGACAGCCAACCACTGGGTTGACGACATCACTAAAGATGTCTCAAGGTGGCCAGAACAGAAATGTCAGCTTTTAGTACCTTCCCTGGCCTGCTTCTTCCCGGCTGTCCAGGTCTCAGTGAGTAGCACAGTGTTGCTTGCTCATATGGAATCCCAGGATGATTCCCGAGTTTCCTTTTCCCTGTCTCGGTCCATCCCTCCAGCAGGTGTGCTGTCTGAGCCCGGCCTCTAACTCCCCTGTCTGACGGCTGCACTGGCCTCCCAGATGTCCCTTGGTTTTCTCTTGAGCCCCTAGGATATTCTTTCTGCACAGGGCAACCAGAGTGGTGTCTAGTGAAGTCATATCGCACTGCTCCCCACTGAAATGTCTCATTGACATCTTTTTAAAAGAAGCATAGCCAGGCACAGTGTACGCCTGTAATCCCGGGTACTTGGCACGCTGAGGCAAGAGGATCAGAAATTTGAAGCCAGCTTGGGCAGCTCAG